CTAAGTCGATTTTCGTATCTAATTGTTCATCGTTAACCGATTTTTTTAACGTTAAAAAATCAGTTTGAAAATCAATTCATATTAATTTCAATCTCGAGTTTGTCAGTGAGGTGAGTCACTGCAATAAGCATGGAAGTTAGTATAAGCTTATTCACCCCAAAAATTAATTCAAGTTGATTTTTTGGACAAAAAAAATTTTTTTTTGAACCGTAAAAATTCGCTAAAAACCATTGCTAATCAAATTATTTAGAAAATGGGCCGTTTTAATCAATTTTTTCGGATAATTTCTTTGTGAAAGTCACATTAAATCAATTCTTATCTCCACTTTGCCAGCTTGGATTCCGAACTGTTTTTATAAAATGAATTTCGGAACTGTATCTCGAAAGTCATCTGCCTGAAAAAAAGAAAAGAAAAAATCAAACCCTTACATTTTTAAAAAAAATTTCCATTTAATCTGCTATTACAAAAAAAATTAAATAAGAAGCAAGTTTACCTTTGATATTTCATCCACCAAACTGAAAGTGGGGTGTAATTGAATTAAAATTAGCTCTTCTCTGTCTCGACACTCGACTGCTTAATGTGCTGATATCCGGACCGTGCATCCTTGCGCTAATATAAACGTGTTTTTGTTCAAGATAGGACTACCCAATGCGTTTATTTAAATCTGGCTGTTCAATAAGCAGAAAATAGCTTCTGAATACTTAATAATTTTTTTTCAAAAAAACTTTCATTTTAATAGGGACAGGCGATTTATGTGTACTTATCAGTTAATGTTCCGAACATCATGACCATTCAATCATTTGATCTTTTGAAATTGGGTAATCATTTACTACTGCGAAAACTTTGAGGCTACTAAGGACCCCAAAAAAATCACATTTAATCAATTTCTTTCTTATGACTACTTAGTGTCTTGCAAAAAACTATTTAAATCGATTCAAAATGTTTTTTTTTTTCAAAAAAAAAACATTTAATTTAATTGTAAATCGATTTTGATTTTGGAGAATTTTAATGTGAAATCCAATTAAAATTTTATATCTATTACAGCCCCGAGTACAATTTCAAAAAAAAAATACGAGAGAAGGTTGTTAAATAGATTTTGATTAACTGCTTTTTTGGTTTTCAAACAAAATTAGATTTGGTTTTGTTTCTCACATTATATCAAAATCCTTCTATAGAGATATTTTACAAGTGCCATAACAACATATGCTCTTGTAGGAATTACAAATTACGCATATTAATTACGCTTACTAATCTTCACTTGGCTTTTAAAAACACATGAAAACATCGCATCCGTTTATCAAAAAAAAAGTTTCCAGTTAGTATGCTGAATGTCAGTCAGAATGTTAAAAAGAAACAAATTTACTTTAGACATTTGTTTCAACAAACTGAAAGCAGGGTGTTCTGTTAGTAAATAACTATTAGTTCTTCTGGCTCGGCTGCTTGGTAAATTTTAACGGAATTTTGAAACAGTTGATAAACAGCTGAATAAATATAAAAAAAATTCCAACTCTATTACATTTTTTTAAAACCCGAATCAATTGATACCTAATTTGAATCTAATTTGAATGTGGGCGAATTCAACTTTGCGCAAATTGGACTGAACGTAATACAGATTTTTGAAAAAGAAAACTCTTGAAATTCAGTTTTATTTCAAAAAAGTTCAATGTGCTATCGGTCATTATTTTGAAAAAAAAATTGAAGAAAATGTTTTTTATTTGATAGCATTGATTTTTCTTTCATCATTTTTGCGTTTGCGCTGAGGAAAAAATATTTTCAAAATGTTCATCCGACATAGCATTTAAAAAGCTTGAGAAAACACCATATATCCGGACAACGCGTCCTTGCACAACTACAAGCATGTTTTTGTAAAAGATAGAGATATAAAATCAGAGACTAAGCTGCCACATTTTTTTTCAGATTTGAAAAATTTGTCTCACTAAAAACCAATTGGATTGCTTCATTGTAAGCGTCTCTAGAGTCGCATAACATTAAGTCGTTGTTTTCGAGCTGGCGGCTGATGAGGATAAATAACATGAGAGCTGAGGCCAATATGCGAAAATTTGAAATAGTTACGTTGGTGGGGGGCGGGGGGGGGGGGTTCAACGCGGTGGTTGTGGGGACGGAGGAGTTAAAGAGGGGGGTGGTTGGATGAGCGTAACAGGTAAGGTAAGAGGATAGAGTGGAGGTTGAGTAATGCATTAATTAATGCAAATTTTGCAAAAAAATTTTAAAAATTGCTTAGAGATTATATTCCATTATAACCAAGTTAAAAAACTGAACAAAAAAGATTTTGAAGGATTGTGTTTTAACAGAAAAACTAGATTAAATGGTCTAAACTTGAAACAATAAAACATTGCAATGTCAAAATTTTAAAAAATATTGCTCCATTACAGTCCTTTTTTATCCATAAGTTTTGTTCTTAAAAATGAAAAAACTCCGGCCAATATTTCTCAATGGCAAAAAACAATTTTAGTCTTCGAAGAAAAAATCAAGGCTGTAAGGGTTCGAACTTGAAACGAATTCAAAATGGCGAACAACAATACATCTAACGCCCTAGTTCCAGTCCTTCAGTCCTTCAAGAAATTATACATATAATTCAAAGATGATCAGCAGCTAACTTTGGCACTAACCTGATTGAGTTTCCTTAAGAGTTCAAAAATATATATATTTTGGAATATAATTTATCAAAGCTTAGAGATTTCAAATGAGCTTTTTTGAAATAATTCAAATTCGCTAATTGGCAACATTAGAGACTTTTCGGTTTTATAACTTTTTCAGACTTGTTGCTTACTTCTCAGCATGAACTCAAAAAAAAAGAACAGCAGTTATTTTGTGCAAAATGGTATCAAATTTGGTCAAAACGCGATGATGAGATGAATATTTTACGGACAAAGTTCTGATCTTGCCGTTAACGAAGTCTTAATGAAAACTTTATCTCTAAATTTTTGCATTGCTTGTGCGTATTAGGCATTTAATTATCAGTGTAAAAATGTCTATCAAAAGTGAGTGCGCTCATTAAAAATGTAATAAGTACTCGTGAGAATTTTCGACGACTGTTTTTTTTTATTTGTATTTGAAGATAAAAAAACTCATGAAAATCAAAAGTACAAGGGCGGATTAAGGTAGGGGGATTTGACCCCCTGTCGACCCAAAAGGCCCCCTTTATGCCTTTTGAGATCTGCTTTTTTGGCTGACTGACCTTAAATCTTTCTAAACACGCCTTTGGTGCCAATATAAGCTAGTTTTGAGGGGGAAGCGTGGGCCAAAAAGAAAACGCAAAAAAGCCTTTTTGGCCGGTTTTTTTTTCCATGAATCGCCTGTGGCGCAGAAATTTTAGTCAAAATAGGGTCCCTATAGTGATTTGTGACTGCTCGGAAAGCCAGTTTGGTTGACCTAGGAAAAAAGGTCGACAAATTACGGAAAACTTTTGAAAACCTCTCATCAAGAAAATCCTAGATCCGCCCCTGATTCGACCCCTGCCGACGCAAAAGGTACCCCTTTTGTACTACTTTAAGATTTTTTTTCTGTGTGCGGTACCCTAAAGGTTTTTTAAAAGCGCCTTTGGCGCCAATATCATCTTTTTTTTAGGAGGGAGCATGTTAAAAACATTCTAAAAATGGCCTAAAATTGCCTTTATTGACTTGTTTTTTGCAATAATTTGCCTGCGGAGATAATTTAGTCGAAGAAAAAAATTGCTGTTATAGTGACTTGGGTGAGCTCAAAACATCTACTTGGTCGACCTATAAAAAACTCTTTTCATACTTTTTGAACAACCTCCTCGAGAAAGTTTTAGATCCGCCCCTGCGCTAGTAGATAGTTTTTTAAGATACCTTTTTTTGTTGTTGGCTGCTTCTGAGGTCATTTAGATATGCTTTACGACAAAAAAAAATTACGGCAAAAAATATTAACATTTTGAGAAAAAAAAGAAACATTCCTATATTATTAGCACGAAAAGACTTCCAACTTTATTAGCACGAAAAGAAGTCAATAACCAAAATCCCGAAGTTTAAATTGTCGAAACTGCAGAAAACTTTTTGTATGCTGAGGCTCAGAACGATTGACAGGGATTTTAAGGTAATGAGCATCTTCATGCAGGAAAAAAATTAGTATTCTTTTTAAATTTCACATTACACATCCTTTGACTAATGTAAGCAAAAGGCAGATTTAAGCAGCAAAACAGCCAACCCAGAGTTGTAAGATATAGACAGAATTTCACGAGCGACAATGTTTTAGCAATTGAAAGATTGCAGCCAATCAGGTCAACAATACTCTTGGTAATCTTTCGACATAGCGAAACAATTCAGAAATTCGACAAAATAACTGATCACAAAAATTTATGATATTTCTAACTCCGCAAATTGAAAAATATTTATCAGTAAGCTCTAAATAAGTAACGTCTTTTTAGGAAAAAAATGCTTCACAAAAGAAATTACTCATCCCATCTGAACGCGCACTTGAACGAATCCTTCTGCGTTGCCAAAAAGTTTATCAAGCTTACGAAAAATCTATAATCAGAAAAATAAATTTAGCATTTCGATTTTTTTTTATATGGATGACGTTTTTTATGCTCCTAGCATCGTGAGGCAATTTAATTTCTGTAACTATTAAGCAATCTCCGCGAATTAACCAAATACATTTTGATAAGAATTGATAGGCTGCAAGGCAATTTGAACAATATTTGACTTGTTAAGTCCAAGTGTTGTAATTTTGAAATTCATAAATCCAGTTTTTATTGATCGTTAAACATATTCAAACTTTTCTTCATTTTTGTCTTTGGTCAAGAAAATTGTTACTAAAACGATTAAATTTCTATGTTGCACAAACTTTTAAAGCATACCAGTCTTTTGAAAGTTTTTTGAAAAAACTATCTCGCCAAAATGCAGAAAAAGTCAAAGGCGCAAAGTCTTTTTCAAAAAATAAAATAAACTCAGCTTATGACAAAAACCCCCATTTTTGTTTCAGTAATTTGGCTTTAAGCCTGATGCAAAACAAAAACATACCTTTGATCGTCTGAATAATGAGAACTGTCGTCAGCAACTCCCTCGAGCAAAACTCCTTTCCTTGAAAATCTGCTAATGCTACTGGAACTGCTGCAAAACCCACTCCCACAGTCCCTGTCGGGATTCGAACCGCCTCCCCTGTATCTACCAGATGAAATCTTTTCTTTTTTGCCAAATTGTGTTTCACTCTGAGATAACTGAGTCAGTCGTTTTTGCAAACGTTGTTTTCTTTTTTCGTCGAGTTGTTTACAAAGCTGATTTTGTTTCGAAGGAGTCACTTCTTGAGTGTAGTACCGAATTCCAGTTGAAGTGTCGTCAAATTTAAATTGTAAGGTGGAGCTTTGACTCTGATTATTTGGAGATCGATCTGGGATAAATTTGGCCGCATTACCAGAAGTGACGTTTTTAAACCTCTGGTCTCGTTGTCCCGGCACTAGAAAAACATTAGGTTGGTTAGAACTAGATTAAACACTTCATAAGTAATCCAACATGCTTAATTCACCTTCCGTGCAAATAACAAAATGTCTGAGCTAAAGTGTTAATTGCTTCCCAGCCGGCCTTCGTAAATTTACGTTTTTACCTTTTTCGCTGTTTTGATGGTTTAAGAGGATTTCAAATTTCACACTCTAAATCAACAGCTCCCCAATATCCCATAAATTTAAAATTAGTGCCAGATTTTGCGAAGTGGGCAACCTTTTAAATCGCTTTATAATTTCATGTTTTCAATTGAGCGCCCGCTGTAGTTTTCAGATTTGGTCTTGTTGATGGTTAGATAACAATCTGATTACATGCCAATCACTAAAATGATCCCTAAATTAAAGTGAAAACCTTGTTTCTAGAAATAAGGTATTTTCAGGTGCAAATTGGATCCAATTACGAAACACGAAAATGAGATTGTAATTTTTTTGCACATGCAAACTTAAATAGTAATCTTGTTAATTTTTTCATCTGAAAAAAAAAGATTTTGATTTTGAAATTTTTCTTTAATTTTTTGATTTGAAATAACTCGTTTTTGATTTTGAATTTTTTCAAATTTTTTGCAGCGCCATAATAAAGCCATATAACGCCATTTGTATTTTACGGAGTAACTTTTCGAAAAAACAATCATTAAAAAGGTATTTTTTTTAACCTGTGAGTTTTTGATTTCTCTAGAAGTTTTGAAAACTTCAAAACTGGTTCAAAAAATTTGAAAGTTAAATTGGATCATTCAAATTAGTGGTTCAAAAAATTTCAAAGATTTGTCAATTTCTTTAATTATCCGCGCAGATTTTTTTTCCAAAAAAATCTTCTTATTGCGGCCAAGCAAAAACCTTGTTTTTGACATTAGGCAAAAACCACGTTCACTTTTTTGTATCTATTTACCTGGGAAGCTGTAGTTTTGGGCTGGCATTCTTTGGCTCATGTGTTTGGAGACCATTTTGCAATTTGTACTTTTCTCCAATAATTATCTCTAAAAATGGAGATAGAAATGCTCTGTAAAAATCAGACCGTATGAAGTCAAAGACACTGTAATTCAAATCAGAAGCACATCAAACAATTGGCTGGGATATGGATTTCGTTGGCCAGTTATCGTTCGTAGATTGTATGAAACGTCTCTTAAGGTAAAATAGAATTAGTAGTCTGAAAGTTGGTCGAAAGTTTCTTCTGAAATCAAAGGAAAATATTTAAGACTCGCTCTCTGATTACAGAAATTGAAGACGTTAAGTAGTTAAGTGGTATGGGTGAAAATTATTAAAGCTGACTAAACTTTATATTGGGAATAAATAACCTTGAATGGCAATGGACTGCATAAAAGGTAATCATATGCATAAGATTTCTCTATATTTAAATTTGTTACTTCTAATTGTAAAACTTCGATAACAAATTGAGGTTGACCTCTTAGAGTCATGAAATTACATGAATTTTCGGAATGAAAAGCTTTTCAAAAATCATCAGAGAAGAGTTTTTTTTCCTTTACTACGCAAAAAGCATCTATAATGGGGAGCTGTGCTATTAGAGATGACGACCAAAAAACTTCTCAAACGACTCTACAAAATCAAGAGCAGTAACTGTCAAATTGAATTTATTTGAGTAATATTAACAAATTTTGATCAATAACTTCTGAAGTTGTCTTAGTGAAAGAAAATAGCATGCGATAATTCGAGTATGCTATTGAAAATAATAAAAGTTCTTTCTTCTGTTATGTTTTTGTCTTTTGTTTTGACAGTTGGACATTTTAAGTTAAGAAAAACGAATAAGATCTGTCAGAGTTTTAAAATAGCAAAAACATTTTTAAATTTTTTTAAAAATTCTATTTATGCGCACATGTTTGTAGTTTTTTTCGTTGTTTTTCTGTGATCTCAAAATAGATATTAGAATTAGTGTGAAATGATATATTGACCTTTACAGGCGTTCTCATATACCATACCAACACAAAATCTTGTCCGATTCTTTTTTTAACAGCTTCTTTGTTTTAAGCTTGAGCAAACATGAAAAAAAGACAGCTAAGTCTAAAAACAAGTAGTGTATTATCCAATCAATTAATCCAAAATGCTCAAAGTTTGGGTGGTAACTCATACGGTAACCCGGGTTGACCTCACCATAACAAACTACTGGTCGTACAACATCGTATTTGGAATCTGTGAAAAATTACTTGTGTACAATTGCAGACAATATATATAGTTTGAACAGTTTTTCAAAAGTAGCATTTTCATCTATTACAGCAAAAAAATAAAATAAATTTGGGTTGGTTCATAGTTCACCCGCTACATTTTTGAAACTACAGAAAAACTGAAGAATTTTTTTTTGTACGCTAACCGAAAAGTTGATGAAACTTTATTCGTAAAAAATGGTTGGCCATACATTTCCATTTTTAAGTTTTTTTTCTTGTGGCAACAACAATTCTATGCATAAACAGTCATTTTCCATAAAAAAAATTGAATGCAAATTTATTTTTTCCGATAACGTAGTCCAGACAGTTTTTTCACACAAAGGAAATAAAAATCAAAATGAATATTTTGTTGTGAGCTAGAACTTTTTTTTCTCAATAGAAGGAAACTTTTTGAAAATACAGGCCAAAAAAGGCGTGCTCCCCCCCCCCCCCCCCCCTTAGAATTAAGAAACATTAGCGCCAATGGCGCCTGAGAAAATGTTTAGGGTCAGTCAGCCAAAAATGGATTTCTCAAAATAGTTCAAAGGGGGACCCTTTGAGTCAGCAGGGGGTCTAATACCGCTGGTGACTGTGGAGGTTCAAGTTTTCAGGTTTTCTCATATGAACAAAATTTTGGTTATTATTTCTAAAACTGAACGCAAAAACATTTAAGCAAACCTAAAAAAAAACGTCTATTTTCACTTAAGGAGAAAGGATAGTTGCACATTTTTTCAGTTTGGACAAAAAATTAGTCACACAATTTTGTGTATCGAAAAAACCGAGTCGTAGAATTAAACGGCAATTTCATACACGGGCGAATTGTTCGCCCCACTAGTGCGAAGCTATATGACTATAAATTTTTGTCTACAGGGGAATTCCTTTTTGTGAAATCCTGCAAACAGTTTGTCATTTAAGTTCATTTATAAGTCTAAAATAGCTGAGCTGATTGCAGCGAAGTTCCATGAACAATAATTGTTTACGTTACGAAATCATTGTTTGTCTTCAAAAAATATTAAAAGAAGATTTTAATCAACTAGGTATGGATTAGAATGCAAAATATTTTACAGTCAATTAAATCTGTTTTGAATGAACGTGAAATGTAATTGCTTATATAATTGCTTATTCTCGGCCAACCTCCTGAAATTGCTCAGGAAAATTGACCAATTTTTTTAAAAATAAGATTGAACAAATCAATTATTGGTGCAAATTTCAAAAATCAAGTGCTTGTTTACTATATTTTGCTTGATTATTGCTCCGACCATTGAAAATGGGCCGGAACTTCGTATTCGAGTGTGTCTTCGTTTTTTTTTTCGTTTTCCACAATAAATCAGGTACCACAAACAATCAATGGACTGGGTTGAATGATATAACATATTGAAACCTGTACAGTCGTGATTCGAACCATATTAAAAAGCTCAAAAAACTTTCCCCGGCTCGAGAAAAACCAAATAAAAGTTTTGATTTTTCTTCTTTTTTCGAGCGAAAAAAGCGAGCGAGCAGTCATTTTTAACTCTTTAAAAGCAAAAAAGAAGACACTCAATAAAAAAACTATGTTTTTCAAAAGTTCTCATTTAATATGCTAATTTTCTATGACTGTCAAATATACTCATTCCCCAGTGTTTTATTCAGCTCCTTTTATCACACCACGCCAAAAAAGGCAAAAATTAAAAAAAAAACTGTGTTTTATTTTTTAAGACTATGGTCGGAACGTTCTGGGCACCTTGAGCACTAACCGGCTATCCTTGTTTTTCTTATAAAATTATTTCAGAATTATGATAGTTTTTACCTCAAGAGTATTTTGTTTTTATCACCAACATAAAACCACAAAATTCAAATTTTATTTCCGCTAAAATCAATTTCCAATCGAGTAATTTTCAGGTCGAACTTGCGCACTTGATCTTGCCTTAATTTTTTTCTTGCAGCTCGAAGTTTCAATAGTTTCGCAAAATCTTCTCTCATAAAGATTGGATTACAAAACTAAAAAATCCTTGACGGAATTTGGGCGCGGATAGAGCACCCGGTAGAAGACTCCTACAGGGGAATTCCTTTTTGTGAAATCCTGCAAACAGTTTGTCATTTAAGTTCATTTAAAAGTCTGAAATAGCTGATCTGATTGCAGCGAAGTTCCATGAACAATAATTGTTTACGTTACGAAATCATTGTTTGTCTTCTAAAAATATTAAAAGAAGATTTTAATCAACTAGGTATGGATTACAATGCTAAAAAATTTAGATTCAATTAAGTCTGTTTTGAATGAACGTGAAATGTAATTGCTTATTCTCTGCCAACCTCCTAAAATTGCTCAGGAAAATTGACAAATTTTTTTTAATAATCAGGAATAATTTGACAAAAAAATCAATTATCGGTGCAAATTTCAAAAATCAAGTGCTTGTTTACTGCATTTTTATGATTATTGCTCCGAACATTGAAAATGGGCCGGAACTTCGTATTTGAGTGTGTCTTAGTTTTTTTCGTTTTCCACAATAAATCAGGTATCACAAACAATGATCGGACTGGGTTGAATGATATAACATATCGAAACCTGTACAGTCGTGATTCGAACCATATTAAAAAGCTCAAAAAACTTTACCCGACTCGAGAAAAACCAAATAAAAATTTTGATTTTTCTTCTTTTTTCGAGCAAAAAAAGCAAGCGAGCAGTCATTTTTAACTCTTTAAAATCAAAAAAGAAAACACTCAATAAAAAAAACTATGTTTTAATTTTTAAAAATATGTTAGGTACATTCGGTGCCACTTGAACAGTAACCGGCTATTCTTGTTTGTTTTTAATTATTTCAGCAGTATAATATTTTTTAACTTAATATTCTATATTTTTCTCAACATGAAAGTACAAAATTAAAATTTTTCTCGAACAAAACTATTTTCCTATCGAGTGTTCATCTGGTCTAAATTGAGCACCTGATCTTGCATTTTGTTTTTTTTTAAAAAACGGGGCAAAAAATTTTTTCAAAAAAAATTGCGCTAGATATGAAATAAAATTTCAAGAGGGGCAGATACTCAAAAATTTGCGGATAATTATCACATTCGATTAACTTGATTTATCAGTCTTTTCATAAACACTGTGAGCCACTTTTCTTCCAAAGTTTTGTTCATGCAAGAGCATTGGTGGATTTTTTTCCAATCATAGTTCGACCTCATAGCAACATTAAAATAATTCCGTTTTGTACGACCATTTGTTGTTGTTTTTTTTTTCAATTATAATTTTTTTTGGAATACAATGCTAAAGTTTGCTACAGCAAAAAAAATCTGTTTTGATTGAACAAGAACTGTAATTGCTTATCAAACAATTTCTCAAATGTTTTTTGAAAACTATCCAGTGGTGATTTATCTGGCCACCCGCCCAGGTATTACTCAGAAAAATTGATATAAACTTTTTTGAATTAAAAAGCAAACAAGACAAAAAGTTTAATTATCGTTGCAAAATTCAAAAATCAAGGGCGTTTTTACTATATTTTAATTGATTATTGCTTCGACCATTCAAAAGGGGGAAGAACTTTGTATTCGGATTTGTTTTACTTTGTTTTTTTTTGTTTTCCTCGCCAAATCAGGCACCACGAATAATCATCGGACTGGATTGAGTGATATATTATATTCAAACCCTTACATTCGTGATTCGAGCCTCAATAAAAATTTTCAACAATTTTTTCCCGTGTAGAGAAAAAACCGGATTCAAATGATTGATTTTTCGTCTTAAAAGCTTATATTAGCTTAATTTACCTTGAGTAACTTTAGTTTACTTTGAGTATTTTAGCGTCTTTTTCGTTTTTCATTTAATTTTTCTTCAAAAGTTCTCTGGGTTAGCAAAAAATGTGGTGAATGGTTTTGACTTAAGTGATAGAGCTTTTCAAAACGATGCAAAGCTAGATAAAATGAAATGAAAAACCCTTTTAATATTGACTCTCTACCAATTATTATCCACTGTAATGAAAGAAAGTGAAAAGACTTTTGTTTTTAAAAAATTGAATTAGACACAAAAGAAAATAAATGAAAGTGA